TTCAAGGTCCATTTTCCCCTTCACAATTAGTGGGTCGTGTGGGGGGTCATTTTGGGGACCATATGAGTATCCTGTTCGCATCAACCTTTGGCCCAGGGACTTGGGCATCTATTGCTGTCTTTGTTTAAATAAAAATTATTACACTGGGAGCTGCAAAATGGTGATGCTTCTAATTGTATCATCTTTCCACATGTGTTAGCCGAATTCTTCTGTGAAGAAGAGCTTTCTGTTTTTCTTCTGACAAACAGATTTCCTTTCATTTCAAACACTGGGATAAGACACGAAGGCCGTGCCCAAGGTTTCCTCAAGTGCCCAGCTCTCACTCCGCTGCAAAGCAATTCCCGATGGGAGTCTCCCAGACGTGAGGCAGGCGATGGGGCGAGGGGGGGTGTAATGTCTGAGTTGATAACAAACCCCTAGTTCTGCGTGGCTCACAGGAAAAGAATGTGTAAGAAAGTAGCAGTGTTCTTGGTTTGCTACATGGCCCTAGGCAACAATCAGAGATGGTGTAGGGGTCACTCCTATATGGCGTACCGTGGTAGTAACTGCTTAATTTTTGTTTTCTTCTGTTGTAGCCACTATGCTGGCTTCCAGAACTTCAATCACGGACAATCTGTCCATGTTCCCTCCATGTGCAAGGTGACTGACCAGCAGTCTCTTCTAAATCCAGACACAGGACAACGGATATAGGGCCTCTCCGTGCTCCTGCCTTCTCTTAGCCACACAGGACGCCCAGCGCCTGGGCTCAGCGAAGACAGCAGGCGTTTCCCAGCTCCACACCAAACTGGCCTCTCTCCTGCTCCTGTTCAAATGCCAGTTGCAGGGCTTCCATCTCGGCAGGGCTGCCTGGGGCTCTGGTCCCTTCCTTCTGGCCACGCTTATGGCTCCAACAGTCAACTAGCCAGTCAACGCCAAGCAGCTGCTTTGTGTCCAGAGCTGAGCAGGATGCTACAAGGGGGCAAGGATACAGGGCCTGGTCCCTGTCTTCAAGGAGCTTATCTGTTTGGAGAGACAATATCACAGAAAGATGCAGCTAAAAGGTAACCTAGTCGTCCGGGAGCGTCTGTGAATGAATTTGGGCGTGCGTGTGCGTGTGCGTGTGCGTGCGTGTGCATGTGTGTGTGTGCGTGCGTGTGTGTGCGTGCGTGTGTGTGTGCGTGTGTGTGTGTGCGTGCGTGTGTGTGTGCGTGTGTGTGTGTGCGTGTGCGTGGGTGGCGGGGGGGGGCAGGGTGGTATAAGGAACTCCGTGAACGGGTGCTAACGTTTGGAGTATCTGTGTTGTACCGTGGTTGATGTCCTTGGGTTGGATATGATCCTCAAAAGGGGCTGTGGCTCCGTCCCCCCACCACTACATGCTCATGACCAAGAGGGAAGAGTTGTGGACTGACTCTGCTTAGCGTATCCAAAGCAGCATCATTGCAACACGTGATCAATATAAAAACTGCTAATGAGATAGTTTGCTTTTACTGTCTTGGAAATTCAACATGCATTTTACGCCTGTTTCCTATTTCAGAACTAGCTATGTCGTAAGTGCCTAAATGGCTAGTGTATTGGAGAACACAGGTCTAGAACATTTTTCCAGGGGAAAAAAAAAAAGGAGAGTGAAGGAGAAGAAACCCACCTTCCTGTACTGGGAATGGGGAGTGAGTTGGGCAGTGGCCCTTCTTTATGACACACTTCATCACCAATCACACGTCGTCACAGAGAGCCCCTCATCTTCACAGAGAAATGAGCAAACCTTCTTTCTAGTGGCCTCATAGCTGCTTGGGCCTGAGACCAGTTGCAAACGTTGAACGGAACCATTCACACACTCGGGTGGAGGAAATGGCCTATGAGGTGAGTGGCCTAGACTTGTGTGCTCTAACATACGTTCATCTCACCTGCCATGTGTGCAACCCACCTACTAAAACACTTTAAAAATGTTTTTATTGATTTTAGAGAGGAAGGGAGGGGGGAGAGAGAGAAACATTGATATAAGAGAGAAAATCAATCAATATGCCCTGATGGGGAATAGAACTGGCAACCTTTTGGTGCATGGGATGACGCTCAACCAACTGAGCCACACCCACGAATCTAGTAAAATGTGCAGGCAGAGGCCGGGGCTGCGGGGTGGGGAGGTAGGGTATATACTAGCTCGAATCAAGCACAGTCCCTGCCTGTGGTGGGGGGAGGTGGGGAGGCAGTGGCCAAAGCAGTGAAGGGCCCAGCGTCCGCTGCACGTTGAGGAGGAAAGTCACCCCCCCCCCCCCCCAGCTCTCCAACAAGACCAAGCTTCCTTCGGAAAACCCACGTTAAAACTCCATCGTGTTTCTGAGTTAGAAACACGTGAAATAATTACCCTTAAGTCTTCACCAGTTATGGCAGCATAGACTGACTTGTTGAATTTGAAAAGCAGAGCCAACAACCCTTTAGAAATGTTTTGTTTTCGTGTGTGTGTGTGGGGGGGGGGACGAATGGAGAAGGTGTGGACCCCTTTGTTGTCTCACGCTGGGGGAATTTCTTTTTAACATAATTTATTGATTTCAGAGATGAAGGGAGAGAGATAGAAACATCAATGATGAGAGAGAATCATGGACCGGCTGCCTCCTGCACACCCTACACTGAGGATCGAGCCTACAACCTGGGCATGTGCCCTGACCGTGGAACTGTGACCTCCTGGTGTATAGGTTGACGCTCAACCACTGAGCCACACTGGCCGGCCACGATGGGGGAGTTTCTTGATGACCGGGAGAGGCATCAGGCAGAGGCCAGAGAGCCCAGTGACCAGAGACGGTGCAGAAGAGCGGGGGGGGGGGGGCAGAAGGGCAGGTTTAAAACACAATCTTCTTCGCTTCAAAACTGGGCCCATGCCTGGACTGGGAATAAAAACCCGGCTGAACAGAAACATCCCATGCAAATGCCTACATTGTGAAAGCTGTGGGGTGGAGGGTGGG